GTTAAAAAAAATGGTATACGTATAAAAATAATAGAGAATATTCTCATTACAATTAAGTTTAATCTTATGACTATCGTTGAATCGCATCATCATTTACACATAAAAAAATCCCCCTGTAGTAGCAGTATAGGTATGTAAATCTGGCTCCAGTTGAAGTGAGCCAGAACCCCCATTACCTATACTACTTTATGTAGGCAAACATATATACACATACATTCATCATTGTTCCACCATTGTGTAGACATATAAATATATATACACACATTCATTTATCATTGTTCCACCATTATGTAGACATACATATATACACATACATTTAACATTGTTCCACCATTGTGTAGACATACATATATACACATACATTCATCATTGTTCCACCATTGTGTAGACATAGATACATTCATCATTGTTCCAACATTGTGTAGACATACATATATACACATACATTCATCAACGTTCCACCATTGTGTAGACACATATATATATATACATACATTCATCATTGTTCCACCATTGTGTAGACATACATATATACACATACATTCATCATTGTTCCACCATTGTGTAGACATACATATATACACATACATTCATCATTGTTCCACCATTGTGTAGACATATATATATATATACATACATTCATCAACGTTCCACCATTGTGTAGACATACATATATACACATACATTCATCAACGTTCCAAACATATATACACACATATTCATCATTGTTCCACCATTGTGTTGACATATATATATACACATACATTCATCATTGTTCCACCATTGTGTAGACATACATATATACACAGACATTCATCATTGTTCCACCATTGTGTAGACATACATATATACACACACATTCATCAACGTTCCACCATTGCTCAGAAGTTCATTCCCCTTACAAGCGTTGAGAGCGCATGTCACACACATGTGACACGGTGCTCAACAGGTTGCACACGCGTTGAGCATCCGTCGAAAACGCCTGTGAGACGGGTGTGTAACCCGTTGAGCACGCGTGTGCCATGCGTGTAACACGGGACCGGGTTTCAGTCGAATTTGACAAACAGATCAAATGAACAGTGAGATAAAACAAAACAATGAGACATGAATCTTGAGTTCATGAGCGGTCACTGACCTGTGTTCACCAGACCATAAACACAATTTCGGCCCGTCTTCCTTAGTGCTCGGCTGCTGGATTTATAGGCGTGAACCATGCCGCTAGAGTCAAGTCTAGCTGGTACCGTCTAGCGATTGTGACCAGCCGACAGTAGTGAATTTAGATACGCGTTAACTGCTTGGGAAGAACCGCCAGTTGGTAAATGTTCGCTTTTAATCAAGTGATTGTGTTTGTGGATTGTGGAAATTTTCGTGTTCATTTTTGCCTGTATGAGTCATTCCAGGTGATATAATGATGCATGCTTCAGATGGCACACATGTGATAGAACAGTCACCACTACTGATGTCCTATAATCTCATGTAGAGATAGGCTCTATTTCCGCAGACCCCACCTTTTGTTTTGCTTTTGTGTCGCGGGTTCTGCCAAAGATGTAATTGAGGGAACTGAGGCGGTGCGGATGAGGTATAAAAGGATTTATTACCTGTAAAAATATATAAACCACATCAACATGAATTGATGAGTCGAGGAAGAAAGAATGTCTTCCCTCGACAATGGCGTGACATAAAGTCGCATTTGATTACGTTGCATAGCATGGCACAATATAATATTCAAACGCTGTTACTTTATATACTATAAATGCAGCAATAAATGTTTTCGGCGTCACACGTTATGTGTGACGTCACCACATTATAAACAAAGTAACATTTTTATGATCTTTTATGTAATAATAAAATATATATACATGATAAACAAATGGAACTTAACCAGATCTTTCACTCACAATCTTACTTACAGGATGGTGCTTTAAACTTAGTGTTTGAATTAGTAATCTCGTGCAACGCGATGCCTTTTGACCGAGTATGATTTTCACAATTTACAACATTAATGATTTAGTTTCTACAATCGCGTTACCTATTCTATTGACTAGATTTCCATAAAGAAAGTAGATAGACAAGGGTACATACCTGTAAAAATATATAAATCACATCAACATGAATTGATGAGTCGAGGAAGAAAGAATGTCTTCCCTCGGCAATGGCGTGACATAAAGTGGAATTTGAAAGTGTCCACGTCACACCCCAGGTATCAGCATGAGATACTGCTGGTAAGACAACCAGGAGTAAAATTGAGAGATGAAGCGTCCGTAAAAAGAAACAGAGATAACTCTTGGCAACTAATAAATCCGGCGACACCTTCCCCCCCTTTGAGAAATGTTGTCCTCAACATTAAAATGCGCTGAAGCCTCCAAACAGAGAAAAGTGAAACCTTTATACAACTACTTACACACATTATGAGTCCACAGCTTTGAAAGTTAACAACACAACTATACAAAAACCTCAAACGATTCAGAGATACCAGCGGCCGATAATGTATCCTCAGAAAGGAAAACATCTTTATCAGAGGAAACAGATAGTTTGGCAAGAATACTGTAGTCAGTTACCCAATCGCCATTTCTGAGCCAAAACGGAGGAGCTCTGTTACGGGTAGGCCTCTCCATATCAGAGTTCCGTTCTGACACATGATCAGTGGAGTCTGCAACTACATCCTCGTCATGAGCAGACGTTGTACCGGGCTCCTCTTCCGCTGAAGCAGATGACTGTTCAGGAGGGCTGGAAGTATAGCGTGTTAGAGAACTGTTAGATGATGGTCCAGGAGACGTGTCAGCAGGAAATGAGTCTTCAAGCTCCATCACAGTTCCTACTGTTTCCATGGAGTCCTCTCTATTAGCTTCAGTTCTTTCTTCTAGATCTCGACCAAAGTTAGTTCCATTGGATCCAGTAACCTGAGACACTGGTGGACTAATCGGATCTGGTAACAATACAAATACTTCCTCGGCATTTTCGTCTTCTGACTCCATGAGTTCTTGGTATTCTTTCACCTTTAAGGATACAGACTTCTTCGTCCCTGCCTTTCCTTCATTGTTTTTCTGATGTCCAAACACTGGTTCCGCTGGTATTGACACAAGTGGCAGGAGCATGTTACGATGAAGTGTCTTCTTCAGTCCTTTGCCATCTTCCTGTTGCAGGGTGAATACTGGGATGTCCGTATTTGGTTGGTTTACAACTTGGAACACATCCCGTCCCCACTTATCAGCAAGCTTGTGTTTCCCAGTAAGTCCTACAAGGCGAACAAGGACACGGTCACCAGGTTGGAGAGTTGAGGCGCGCACTTTAGCATCATATCTTTTCTTATGACGTTGACCAGCTCTTTGGACTTCACGTGATGCACTTTCATAGGCAAAGTTTAATCTCTTTCTCAATTTGTTGATGTATTCAGTCGTGGTAGTGTGGTCATCACCAATCTTCTTGACTCCAAGGAAAGCATCAACAGGCAGGCGTGGATGTCGACCAAACATAAGGTAGAAAGGTGAGTATCCTGTACTCTCATGCTTTGTGGCATTGTAGGCGTGAACCAGTGGAGAAACATAAGTCTTCCAGTCAGTTTTCTTATCTTCTTCAAGGGTTCCCAACATGTTCAGAAGAATCTGGTTGAATCTCTCACACATTCCGTTTCCTTGGGGATGATATGGTGTGGTTCGAGTTTTCCGAATTCCTGTCAGTTGACATAACTCCTTGATGATATTGCCTACAAAGTTTCTCCCTTGGTCGCTGTGGAGTTTGGCTGGAAATCCATAGTGCACAAGGAAATTATCAAAAAGAACTCTTGCTGTTGTCTTGGCGGATTGATTCTTGGTTGGTATGGCAATAGCATATCTTGTAAAATGATCTGTGATCACAAGAATGTTCCCGAATCCTCCTCACAATTGCAAGTAGTTCATGCACACTAGTTCCATTGGTTGGGTTGTCTGAATGTTGACTATTACCTGTAAAAATATATAAATCACATCAACATGAATTGATGAGTCGAGGAAGAAAGAATGTCTTCCCTCGACAATGGCGTGACATAAAGTCGCATTTGATTACGTTGCATAGCATGGCACAATATAATATTCAAACGCTGTTACTTTATATACTATAAATGCAGCAATAAATGTTTTCGGCGTCACACGTTATGTGTGACGTCACTACATTATAAACAAAGTAACATTTTTATGATCTTTTATGAAATAATAAAATATATATACATGATAAACAAATGGAACTTAACCAGATCTTTCACTCACAATCTTACTTACAGGATGGTGCTTTAAACTTAGTGTTTGAATTAGTAATCTCGTGCAACGCGATGCCTTTTGACCGAGTATGATATTCACAATTTACAACATTAATGATTTAGTTTCTACAATCGCGTTACCTATTCTATTGACTAGATTTCCATAAAGAAAGTAGATAGACAAGGGTACATACCTGTAAAAATATATCAATCACATCAACATGAATTGATGAGTCGAGGAAGAAAGAATGTCTTCCCTCGACAATGGCGTGACATAAAGTGGAATTTGAAAGTGTCCATGTCACACCCCATGTATTAGCACGAGATACTGCTGGTAAGACAACCAGGAGTAAGACATTTGTAAGACTCTACCATTTACCACCAAATATTAGAGGATATTGGAAATGAATATAAACTACCATGCATTTTGTCCAGGTGTAGATAGAATTTTGATTTTAACAATCACCCGATATGACCATGTACAGACAGTCTCGGTTTGGGATTTTTTGCAATTGCCCAAAGCGCATACTGATGACTGTATTGCTGCTTGGCTGAGGTAACAGTTTATCATAAGAGGAAATTGGAGATTTTTATGCATTCACACAGCCTTTAGTTCTGACATGATATATGTAACTATAGTTCTTCTTATTAAATACTGTACCAAACTTTAATGTCTATCATTTTTTATCTACACATAAACTGAATTTCACTGCTTCTTTGAAATTCATTTTGAATTTTGTTTTGCAATGCTTACATCCTTTTTCTACAGAAGCTGCAATGGAAACTCTGACGAGGCACATGTTGTTGTGTATAGGTAGCCTGCTTCTGTTTGCACGTTCAGCACGTCCATATACCAAAGGCGCTCCTGAACACGCATGCGCTGACATGATGCCACATCATCATGATCAACCCGCCGCCCAAACAGACTCGCCGTTTGTGTTGCTGCTACAGAAAGCCACGTACAGCCCAGGGGAGGCCGTGGAAGGTGAACCATCAGTGAGAGCGTGAGTGACTTGTACTTACGGCGTTGTTGGCAATACTGCAGCCATATCATGCGGGGAGTGGGGGGGGGGGGGTGGGGTGGGGATACACCGGGATCGTGGTCGAATGTGGGTCTAGGAAATACTACTTGAATAATTAACTGTCTACGTATTAACTATCATGCAATCATATGATCAAAAATGGTATCTTTGTTAACATATATTACATGCATATATGCACCCGGAAACAGGTATAAACACCATTTCTTTTAACGGTTTCATTAATCCTGAATATCCACGTACCCTTTGGAACTATCTTTGCATGACCCCCAATTTCTGCTGACAGTCGCAGGTGCTCCGAGTCATGCAGGTGATGGACGGAAGCAGAAGAAGCAGCTGAAACGATAGTTGAAGAACAAGGGCAATAATAATAAGATAAAAATGAGTTTGGATCTACGAATGTGATCTGTATAAACAACCCTTGACAATAATAAACCACAATCATTGTCAGCTGGGGATATTATAGCACAACCACCATTGATGTTTTAACCCATCTCTCTCTCTCTCTCTCTCTCTCTCCTTCTCTCGCTCTCTCTCCCCTCTCTCTCTCCCTCCCTCTCTCTCTCTCTCACTCTCTCTCTCCCTCTCTCTCTCTCTCTCTACGGCTAAGACCGGGGTGCCCTTATAAAAAGCGATCTTAGGAATAAGGTGATCAAAACTCCCATACCTTAACATAGACTTACGACAGTCGTAGCACTAAGGTTGTTTAGTACAACGGTTTAGTTGACTGTCCCGATAGAAGTGTTGAAAGCGGCCGCATTACCCACTCGCTAATTACTCCCAACAGTGACACTTGAAGGGCGCTGTGAGGAGCAGTTCAAGGGGTTTCTGCTACAGGCACACAGAGCTGACCCTGTCTACAACACCTCCGACTACATCGGCAGCTTCATCACAACGGCAATAACATCAGCTGTGTGCGAAAACGGAGACGGGGTGAGTGGAAGAATTTATTGAGACTCCTTGAAGAGTTTCGGTTAAAGAACCAAATAAGCATGCATTGATTAGTGATTGTCGTAGGAAACCAAATGATGATACGTGATCACTGGTTGAATATATGCTTTCTGTTTGCTGCTCAGGACCAGTCACTTCCCACTCGAAACCGCCAATGTGTGATATTTCATCAAACTGTAAATTTGAAATGTAGATTATGCAATGAATTTAATGAAGCACTGTCAGTGGATGCCCAGCTTTGGCACAAACACAGTATCTTAAGCGACATGATGGCGTCTTCGCCATGCTTGTGGTTTGTGGTTTTGTCGCAGAGGTCCATCCATGGCACGACACAGAATATGTAGAGAGCGTCATAGAAAATGGTGAATACAAAATTCTTTGGAATAGGCCCGTACACAGCCTCAGACGTATCCAGGCGAAACAAAGCTGATCTTATCCTTTTAGATAATCAAAAGAAATCATTTTAACACTAATGTGATTGACAAGATTCAGAAAAAAAACATGGCAAATATGCGAACCTCGCTTTCGAAATGTCACTATATCATTCCAAGTACCAACCTGCCCGACTCCACATTGTTTTCGGTGCCTCAGGTATGGTACCTCCCAATCTGTTGACTGACATTTTGGGAATATTCGGGTTTGCTGCCAGGAATACAGCCCTTCCGACAATCTAGGTAATGCAGGAGGCATCTTCACATTCTCCGAAAAGTTCGGGGTGGGGGTGACTAGGCAGCGCTTCCTGTGAAAAATCCCATTCGCTGTCTGGGCTGCGTGTAGAGGGGGCAAGGGCCCTTAGCTAATGATGAGCCTAACCAGCCTACCTGTGCCTGGATCACCCAAACCCTCTTTGCTGCATTTTTTTTATATTTTAATCTGTACACAACATAATAGAAAGAGTGTTGTCACTTTTATTTTAAGTTCCAAAGGAACACATTTCACATAGTCTAAGGCTTCTAGGCTTATTCTACAATATCTCATTACGATGTGTAAGAACACGAAGATAGATTGCCTTTGCATATATTAGTTTAGTCTACAGTACATATACTATACATTCCGTGACAGGTACCGAGAGGGCTAACACAAAATGAGACGAGTCCGAAGTCGGTTGTCAAGGCAACATGGACAGCGCCATCAACAGCCTCTGGACATGTCATCTTCAAGTGGGTTGTCATCCGATGATGCTTTGTACAAGTGACGATACCAACGATCTCGACACACTCAGCCACTATTAACAAAGCTTCAGTATCTTGCTTGATATTCAAATTGGTTCGTGCAGATTGTGTGTATCTAATGCAAACACCTGTGTGTGCAAACTTACTCTAGTGTGTAAGTCTGACAAACTGATATCAATTACCCTGCACGATCAATGTGAGAATGACCTGTTGGGATTCCGGGCAAGAAACATCTTCCAGAGGCAAGTGAGTTAACTGACTATAAAAGTCCAGTTTCCACCCTTGCCGAACCAGGCTAATATTATGGAGTTACATTTTGGCAGGAATAACGAGTCTATTCATAGTCCAATCACAATCATGCAACGAAATCGAAATCCGGTTCGTAAACTGTCATGCAGATTTCGGTCGATTGCAGGATTTGCACAGCATGTGCCCCGCCAACTTGTTGTCAACAGATACTTTCAAAATCTTTTCATGTTTTAAATCAAAGTGCTCACGTGATTTGATGCACTTCGCGATGTCAGACCCGTTTTATCACAATATAGATCTTGATTATCGATCAGATCATCCTGACAGGGCGCCGCCATTTTGTTTGAAGGAGATGAAAGAGAGAAGAGAGGTGGAATATGATTGGTCAATAAGAGAGGCATAGAAGTGACATAACTCGTAATAGCCACTGGTGGCGCTACGATCGAGCCCAGGAATTTCGGCAAGGGTACACTGGACTTTTAAACTGAGTTAACTCCCTTGCCTCGGGAAGATGGGCCAGAAAAGGTCCTCAGCAAAAGAGGTCGGGGTTCTTACAATGTGTGACCTGGATGACTCGGACCACGTAGAATGTTGCTGGTGCTGTCAACCACTGGTTTAACCAGCTCTAAGCTTACCCATCACCCAGGCCAGGATTCGCTGACCGTAGGCACGAATCCTAGTATCGCCGTGATTACGAAGGCCTTTTGCCTGTCAGTACCGCTGTCCCTGCTGGGTGGGTTTACACAAGTAGGACACGTCAACAACCTGCGGCACTCTCCTTCACCATTAATGTGGCAAAGATATCAACTCTGTGGTGTTACACTCCACTGTTTTGGTAATAATGTTTCAGGGCAAGTTTCGTGAAGAACTATTCAAAGTTCTGGGTCCGGATCAACTCCGCTGTTCTGACTGACCCCACGGCTGCCCCCCTCAGTGTTCCAGAGAGCTCACTCGTGTCCCCTACGATGGCGCCCTGCACGACAGAAACTGCAACGTCAGCACCTACAGATTCAACAGCATCTGTAACACAGCCGCCACAGTCATCCCAGTCAGGTGCATCAGCATCACCAACTACAGAAGCAAAACAGTCGACTGCACCACCAGGAGTGCAGACTTCACCGCCTTCAGTAAGCTGTTGTGTCAGACAAATCACACGAGGGTTGGGGTGGGGGGTCTTTTTCCAGTCTTTGTGGTCCACCTCTTCCGATGTCGGTCTTCCATCAGTAATCATTATGGAACTAGATATTGCTCTACATTATTGACGCTATAATTGTCCCTAAGGATCTGCTGCAGAAGTAAGTGTTGTAGGAACTGTCTCTTGGATGTGCAAACGAAAATAGAAAACAAATTAGACGGCTAAATACAGGAAAAGAATAGAATAAACAGGACTTAGATACGCCCGTATATTCTTATCCATATTTCGGCATTTCCAAAGCTGTATATAAGTAAAATATTAGTCAACAATTACATAAATAGATAGTACCGAGGTGCAACTGTCATATTTAAGTGTATGTTGGATATAACGTGTTAACGCCCTGAAGTGCCGATGCGTTTACACAGAAGTATTACGTGGCTATATTTCAGAGTATATCACGTGACATTAAGTGCGGAGTACGGCTGGGATGCTTTGACGACTGTGATAATGGATGCACGTTCTCGATCACGTGGGTGCCAGAGGACAGCAACATTCGGTTCCATCTCAGGTCGTTTTCAACTGGGGACTCGTGGATTGCCATAGGATTCTCTGAAGACTTAGAAATGGTAAATTGATAAAACAGATTGAAATATGTTATATCAGAGTCGACAAAGCATTTTATGAATGAACTATATCTTTATTATACTGTATTTGTGACGTTTCGGTATAGATTCTTATATCGTATGTCAAGCAAGTTGTTATCCATAAAATTCTTTGTCTAGTACCTTGTCATCCGTCAATCCTAAGAAATGCTTATCTAACTATTCAATATATGATATTCCTACTATTGCAGATTTTCTGTCAAATCTTCACTCAGTTTTAGAAGTACAATCACTTTCAACAGAAGAAATCTGGCTTTTCTTGAAGGGTGCTATCGGTGGGGCATGAATCGATCACCTTTTCACCTGGTGTCATCACTGTTTGATAGCGATTCCTGAACATATCATACAGTCAGAATCGTACAATCGACTCTGCTTTTTGCAGAAATTTCTTATAACGGCGGAAAGTGTTTTGTCGCTTTTATTGTCATGAGATGAGTGGTCCAGTAGAGATGATTTTAATGAGACGCCTACGTCACGAGATAACATAATATACATCAATTAATGTCATGTACGATTGATATTGTATTTTTTTTCTCAACTCAATCTCAAACATATGACGTTACTGATACTGTCGAGTTATTTATGTGATGTGATTCATGTGAATGTCCTTCATACTCGAAATGACACATGAGGGAAGGGTGACGGAGTGTTTACACAAACTGGTTACATGGAGCGTCCCTGCTGACAGGGGGATATAGACATTCCGATTTATGTCACTCACTTTTTGTAGTTGGATTCCACAAAGCTTGTGGCAGTAATCACTGTCCATGTGACGACACACTCGGGGATTGAGATAGATCCACAAAGCTTGTGGCAGTAATCACTGCCCATGTGACGACACACTCGGGGATTGAGATAGATCCACAAAGCTTGTGGCAGTAATCACTGTCCATGTGACGACACACTCGGGGATTGAGGTAGATCCACAAAGCTTGTGGCAGTAATCACTGTCCATGTGACGACACACTCAGGGATGGAGGTAGATCCACAAAGCTTGTGGCAGTAATCACTGTCCATGTGACGACACACTCAGGGATGGAGGTAGATCCACAAAGCTTGTGGCAGTAATCACTGTCCATGTGACGACACACTCAGGGATGGAGGTAGATCCACAAAGCTTGTGGCAGTAATCACTGTCCATGTGACGATACACTCAGGGATGGAGGTAGATCCACAAAGCTTGTGGCAGTAATCACTGTCCATGTGACGACACACTCAGGGATGGAGGTAGATCCACAAAGCTTGTGGCAGTAATCACTGTCCATGTGACGACACACTCAGGGATGGAGGTAGATCCACAAAGCTTGTGGCAGTAATCACTGTCCATGTGACGACACACTCAGGGATGGAGGTAGATCCACAAAGCTTGTGGCAGTAATCACTGTCCATGTGACGACACACTCAGGGATGGAGGTAGACCCACAAAGCTTGTGGCAGTAATCACTGTCCATGTGACGACACACTCAGGGATGGAGATAGATCCACAAAGCTTGTGGCAGTAATCACTGTCCATGTGACGACACACTCAGGGATGGAGGTAGACCCACAAAGCTTGTGGCAGTAATCACTGTCCATGTGACGACACACTCAGGGATGGAGGTAGACCCACAAAGCTTGTGGCAGTAATCACTGTCCATGTGACGACACACTCAGGGATGGAGGTAGATCCACAAAGCTTGTGGCAGTAATCACTGTCCATGTGACGATACACTCAGGGATGGAGGTAGATCCACAAAGCTTGTGGCAGTAATCACTGTCCATGTGACGACACACTCAGGGATGGAGGTAGATCCACAAAGCTTGTGGCAGTAATCACTGTCCATGTGACGACACACTCAGGGATGGAGATAGATCCACAAAGCTTGTGGCAGTAATCACTGTCCATGTGACGACACACTCAGGGATGGAGGTAGATCCACAAAGCTTGTGGCAGTAATCACTGTCCATGTGACGACACACTCAGGGATGGAGATAGATCCACAAAGCTTGTGGCAGTAATCACTGTCCATGTGACGACACACTCGGGGATGGAGATAGATCCACAAAGCTTGTGGCAGTAATCACTGTCCATGTGACGACACACTCAGGGATGGAGGTAGATTAGTACCAGGGCCCACTTGCACAAAGCGATCTTAGCGCTAAGATGATCGTAACTCCAATACTTTAACATAGGGTTAAAATAGTCGTAGCGCTAAGATCGCTTTGTGCAAGTGAGTCCAGGGCCCGGTTCCTCAAGACGACCGTGTAAGTTGACGACGGTCGTAGTCATCAATGGTTTGTAAGAAAACGTACAACTTTATGGATAACAACCTCTTGTTCTGATAACTACGTAAGAATCTACATCGAAACGTCGCTATATGCAATTAACCAAAAGTCGTTATCCATAATGTTGTACCTTTTCTCACCAACTTCTAGAATGCCAATCAAACAGTTATTAGTGGTTTGACTTTTTACACGTAGCTGTGATATAACTGCCATACTGGACTGTGGCGAGACACAACATTCACGCTCTTAGAAATGTCGTTCTTGTATTTCGTGTTCTGACCTCATGTTGACGTTTCAGGGTGACGACAGCGTCAGCGAGTGCGTCGTGTACGGTGGCGATGTCAAAGTGTTCCAGTCATATAACACAGGAATCAATAACGACCGTCTAGCGCAAGTAAATTTGATTACTGTGAACCTGCACAGAACTATATATTGTTTAGGGAAGATTTTGCATCGTAGATGTCGACATGAACACAAGTTTAAAAAAGGAAAGTTTATTAAGGGATTCAGTCTGCCATTGTTAAATCCCTATACGATGACGGCAGTCTGGAATAGTCTGCTCCTCTCAAAGAAGGATTCACAATGTGTGGTAACGCCACCTGACAAGAAAACAGAAGACAAAGTCGAACATTGCAAAAATAGATGCAAAACTGGATACAATATTAGGATTTGTTTTTATTAGTATATCATTAAACTCTTGCTTGACATCAAATGACATATTTACCGGGAGATCTTTTGGGTATCGAAGTTGTGTAAAGCGTGTGTGAAAACCATGATGCGGCCTCATGGAGTATTTCAAAAAGATGCAAAAACACACTCTTTTTAGTGGATAATCGTCAGTTTTACAATTTCTGTACAAATCAACGTTTTATGGCGGCGATAGGCAACACGCAATTACTTTCTTTTCGATAACACCCGGTGTCATCTCTGATTTTCAGTGATCCAATCATATAATTTCCACGGCTATTTTTCTTTATCAACCAAAACTGGCTCCCGCACCTCATCCTTGTGTCTTTTGATATCGGCAAGCCTCGGAGTTTTTTCCACTTTTATCAACGAGTATCGATATATTTGATATCAAAAGACACGAGGGAGAGATTCTCTCGTTAACGCCCAATGGAATGTTTCGGCAGATAAGCGAGGCAGATTAATCTCCAGCGATGACGTTATATATACACATGCATAAAAGCGCCCTCACCATATTTGTAAGCTGTTTCTTTTGGCACTTATTATAACGAGATGTACGATTGTTTTAAGCCGTATATGTAAACCTCATGTGATGCAAAAGTTGTCCCAAAGCAAGTTTATCTTGTGTTCCAAAAGAATATGAGCAGAAAGGAATTTTGCCGAAGACCAGAAATGAAGGATTAGAAAACATTGAAAAACTTTTTGTGTCATGTAACTGTCGTGATATCAGCAGACCATATCAGGTGTCACATAGACATCCTAGGGAGTGCAGAGTCTATTGCAAGACAGAAACGTCAGTAACGTGTGTGTGATCTACGGACATTGACCACAGCTTCAACCCTACGCCTCATACTGATTACAAGTCGTTGAATGCTTCTCTGAGCCGAACGGATCCATTCTTCATGAAGTGCGGCTTCAAGTCCAGCGAGATTTTGAACTGGGGGATCACGATGTCTGATTTTCCGGCCAAGAATGTCCCAGAGATGCTCAATCGGATTAAGATCCGGACTACAGGCCAGCCAAGGAAGCGTGGCAATAGCTTCTTGACGCAAACAAGCCAAAACTGTCCGAGATCTGTGTGGTCTAGCATTGTCGTCCATGTGAACAGGTCTTGTCTGAAGAGGATGGTTGTCAAAATGAGAGACTACCACTGGACGAAGAACGGCATCTTGGTATTGTTGGCCAAGTATTGGTATTGTTCACGTTTCCACGAATTGTCACCAGCGGAAGTTTGCAGCCGAAGGAAACACAACCCCATATCAGGACAGACCCCCCGCCACATGCTAAGGTCTTCTGGGTGTTCCTTGGTGCAAAACGAGTGTTACGTTGCCTCCAAACACGTATTCGACCATCAACAGTTCGTAACCGCATTCGACACTCGTCAGACCAATGGATCCTTCTCCACTTGGCCAAGTTCCATCGACTACGGGCACGACACCATATCAGACGATTCCGCATGTGCCTCTCAGTCAGTTGAGGACGTTTTACTGGTCTTCTGGCTTTATAACCAGCCGCTCTGAGGCGACGCCTTACGGTCATCGTCGAGAGTCTCTGATGGGTAATCCACTGCAGTCTTAAATCTGTTGAAGTGGCAAATGGATTTCGTCTGACTATCCTGAAAAGACGTCTATCCTCTCTGTTAGAGGTCTTTCTTGGCCTACCAGACCTATGTCTGTCATTGACATCATTGGTTTGACCATGTTTGACAATCAAACGAGTGATAACACTGTGATGACGACCCATTTGTCTTGCAATGGCCCTGCATGACATGCCTGCATTTTTCATGCCTATCACTTGCAATCTTTCAGCGTCGTCTCCTCTATTGGAAGGGGAATCTCACACAGGAGCAAAATGCAACCACGTGTCTGAAACTATTTATAGGGTAGGGGAACTGCAGCAACAAATTTGTATCTGGACAAATTTGGGTTCATGAAACTATGGAAGCCTAATTCAGTCATACATCATCATATTTCGTATTTCTGATTCCCACACGTGAAATCAAAAGACTATGAATATGGTGGCGCTTAACTTCTGTGCATGTGTATATTATTAATGTGTTTTATTTCCTATGTATATTAGCCAGAGCTGGGACTGAGCGACTTACAGGGCTCCGTCAACAACGGCATTTTCGACTGCAGCTTCTTGAGACAGACTGATGGGTTCGGAGATGTCAAGTTGTTCAATCTGACACAGGACTGGCATCTCATGTTTGCTCGCGGCAAAGCTACAGCCGGTAACCATCCTCGCCCTTCCGTCTCCCGTCGCCATAACCGTAACCTGCAAAAACATCCGGCTTGTCCCAGATGGCATAAGTAGTGTAGAATGAAATGACATCTGATCTTATTAAACATTAATTATGAATGGAATTATGGAACACATCAAATATTAATTAATAGTGTTTACTGCGGTGTCGAATAAACGTTTCCTCGTCAACACAATTACTCCCTGGGAACACGTCAGCATCCTATTTCTTTTCAGAGAATACCTCGTTATTATTTTTACATTTTTTCAAATAATTCATCAGAATAAGTTCGTTAAAGAATTTCTGGTTGAATTAATGTCTGATGGAAACAAATTAGGTTTTAGAAAGAGCCGCCATGTGACCACGCCGGCAGTGACGTCATCGCTGATTGATCTTCAGGCGACAGGCAGCGCCAGTAGTACAAAACTGAAATATCCTCTGGTTCAAGCCCATGGTGAGGACGCTTGATTGTGAACCTTATTTCCATTTATTACTTATCATGCGGATATAGTTCTGTTTTCCTAATCCAATTCATTGCACGCAGTTTAAAAGAACAGGCTGTCACTGCATGTGTCACTTGACCTGACTTTGCATGTGTTTGTAACGGATGCCACCGGTGGGGCAGGCTACGCTCACCTTATCGCAAACACCTGGTATCATGAATATTTGATGGCGATTCATAGACACATCATTTGTTGTGGTCGTACAGTGCTTTTTTAGTCGTACAGTGCTTTTAGCAGAGATTTCTGATGATTGAGGAAATGGTTGTTTTTTCTTTGTTTTTGATTAATGTAGCCGTTTTTCCATGTAAGAAAATAACACAACTTAGCACTGGCATGATACGTAGATACAGCCTGTGTACATTGTTATCTTGTAGGCAAGGGATATGTAGATTCTGATTGTGTTCAACTCTTACTCCATGCATATGGTCCTTGGGATCTTCAGAATACAGTTGATTATTCCATAGTGTTAGATCACTGCAGTCAATAGGGGCCGACGTGTGTCCGAGTGCTGTGCTCTTCAAGCTCCAAATACCATCACTAGGGTTAAAAATGTTATTTCTTAGTGGTAGCATACAGACAGCAATTATTTGTTTCGGTCTATAACGACGTATCTTGCATTTCAGGGTGTTTAATGTCCATAGCATGGCTCTTTTGTGCCAGTATAGGACTTGTCATAGCCAGGCACTTCAAGCCGATGTGGCCAGACAAGAACATCCGGGGCCTCAAAGTCTGGTTCCAGGTAGGGAAGTTCGATGCAGTTCATCCACTCTGAAGTCTAATGTGTTGCTTAGATGGTACTTTCTGATTACCTCTTACTTACAAAGTGTCATGCCCCACCTATTCGTGGACGAGGGTGGTATTTGTATTTTCCTGTTTCTCGTACCTTTCTAAACTCGAAACTCGAAATAATTAGACAGAATCAGGAGGAAAGTAGGGTTAAGCCCCTTTTGAAAACAAATAGGCCTTGCATCTTGAGATACCACAATATACACACAGAAATTGCAATACTTGCCCTAATATTGCTCAGTTCGGTGTCAACTGATCTATCCTCATAGGTTCTCTGCAAGACAAAACGTTTGTACGGCTACACATTCGATACTAAACATGAACATATTCAGATGTGTTTTTCCAGATACATCGTATGTGTATGGGGCTGACGTTTGTCGCAACAGTCGCTGCGTTTATCATCATCTTCATAGAGGCCAAGGTTTACAGCCAGGTGAGCTTCTCTAGAAGTGTAACAAGTGGATCTAGAGTAGACACGTGACTGGATCCCGTACATGTAACGGGTGTCATCTACCTGCTGCAGCTTCTCAATCAAATAAACAAAAGCACCAAAACATATTCCACAATGATAAGAAATATCAGCTGAAACATAAATCAAACATGGGATTAAAAAAAAGTGTATTTCTCTTCCTTAGGACATCAGTATTCCCACTGTATCTTAAGCATGTGTTTAGCAATACCAATTGGGATCGCAACTTCAAAACCATTATGGAAGCTGTCAAATATTATGCCAAAAAATGTCCCAAAAAGAAAATGTTTTCGTTGCTTTTATTTATGAATCAATATCAAATAATTGCGAAAAGGTGACGCAAAGGCAAGTCTTTTGTTCAATTAAACAGACGCGGAAACATCCGGTAGAAATCAAGATAGTAATTACATTGGAATTGCATATTCGTGTGTATATGTGGGTATATACCTGTGGAATCCTAGAAGTGACATTGTCGCAAAAAAAATATCATTCAAAGCGCGACAATTCGACAACGCAACAATGCCTCAAAATGGCCAAAATGTCTCATTGTCGCGCATTGGTTTAGTTTTTATAATTTTTGCCTTTTGGACAAGTACGACAATGCGAACATATGCGATAATGCGATAATTCGACAATGCGATGGTGTCCCTTCTAGGTTTTCATACAAACCATATACGTTATATGGGCTTCAAAGCAATTATTTCAAAATGTGTCAAAGAAAGCTATTTCTCTGACATCAAACAATACAATAACATGTAAAGTATTACAATTCACATTTATCACAACCTCTTTGATCTTTAAACAAAGTGTTATCAAGCTTGTTGAGGTTGTAAGGACTATATGCACAAAGTGTAATCAATCTTGTTCAGGTTGTAAGGACTATATGCACATAGTGTAATCAATCTTGTTATGGTTGTAAGGACTATATGCACATAGTGTAATCAAGCTTGTTATGGTTGTAAGGACTATATGCACATAGTGTAATCAAGCTTGTTCAGGTTGTAAAGACTATATGCACATAGTGTAATCAAGCTTGTTCAGGTACTATGGACTATATGGACATAGTCCAATCAAGCTTGTTCAGGCTTTAAGGACTATATGCACATAGTCCAATCAATCTTGTTCAGGCTGTAAGGACTATATGCATATAGTCCAATCAATCTTGTTCAGGCTGTAAGGACTATATGCACAAAGTGTAATCAAGTCTGTTCAGGTTGTAAGGACTATATGCACAAAGTGTAATCAAGCTTGTTCAGGTTGTAAGGACTATATGCACAAAGTTTAATCAAGCTTGTTCAGGTTGTAAGGACTATATGCACATAGTGTTATCAAGCTTGTTTAGGTTGTAAGGACTATATGCACAAAGTGTAATCAATCTTGTTCAGGTTGTAAGGACTATATGCACATAGTGTAATCAATCTTGTTCAGGTTGTAAGGACTATATGCACATAGTGTAATCAAGCTTGTTATGGTTGTAAGGACTATATGCACATAGTGTAATCAATCTTGTTCAGGTTGTAAAGACTATATGCACAAAGTGTAATCAAGCTTGTTCAGGTACTAAGGACTATATGCACATAGTGTTATCAAGTTTGTTCAGGCTGTAAGGACTATATGCACATAGTGTAATCAAGCTTGTTCAGGTACTAAGGACTATATGCACATAGACCAATCAAGCTTGTTCAGGCTTTAAGGACTATATGCACATAGTCCAATCAATCTTGTTCAGGCTGTAAGGACTATATGCACATAGTCCAATCAAGTCTGTTCAGGTTGTAAGGACTATATGCACATAGTGTAATCAATCTTGTTCAGGTTGTAAGGACTATATGCACATAGTGTAATCAATCTTGTTCAGGTTGTAAGGACTATATGCACATAGTGTAATCAAGTCTGTTCAGGTTGTAAGGGCTATATGCACAAAGTGTAATCAATCTTGTTCAGGCTGTAAGGACTATATGCACATAGTGTTATCAAGTTTGTTCAGGCTGTAAGGACTATATGCACATAGTGTAATCAAGCTTGTTCAGGCTGTAAGGACTATATGCACATAGTCCAATCAATCTTGTTCAGGCTGTAAGGACTATATGCACAAAGTGTAATCAAGTCTGTTCAGGTTGTAAGGACTATATGCACAAAGTGTAATCAAGCTTGTTCAGGTTGTAAGGACTATATGCACAAAGTTTAATCAAGCTTGTTCAGGTTGTAAGGACTATATGCACATAGTGTTATCAAGCTTGTTCAGGTTGTAAGGACTATATGCACAAAGTGTAATCAATCTTGTTCAGGTTGTAAGGACTATATGCACATAGTGTAATCAATCTTGTTCAGGTTGTAAGGACTATATGCACATAGTGTAATCAAGCTTGTTATGGTTGTAAGGACTATATGCACAAAGTGTAATCAAGCTTGTTCAGGTACTAAGGACTATATGCACATAGTCCAATCAAGCTTGTTCAGGCTGTAAGGACTATATGCACATAGTCCAATCAAGTCTGTTCAGGTTGTAAGGACTATATGCACATAGTGTAATCAATCTTGTTCAGGTTATAAGGACTATATGCACATAGTGTAATCAAGCTTGTTCAGGTTGTAAGGACTATATGCACATAGTGTGATCAAGTCTGTTCAGGTTGTAAGGACTATATGCACAAAGTGTAATCAATCTTGTTCAGGCTGTAAGGACTATATGCAACATAGTGTAATCAAGCTTGTTCAGGTTGTAAGGACTATATGCACATAGTGTAATTAACCTTGTTCAGGTTGTAAGGACTATATGCACATAGTGTAATCAATCTTGTTCAGGTTGTAAGGACTATATGCACATAGTGTAATCAAGTCTGTTCAGGTTGTAAGGGCTATATGCACAAAGTGTAATCAATCTTGTTCAGGCTGTAAGGACTATATGCACATAGTGTAATCAATCTTGTTCTGGTTGTAAGGACTATATGCAATATAGTGTAATGAAGCTTGTTCAGGCTGTAAGGACTATATGCACATAGTGTTATCAACCTTGTTCAGGTTGTAAGGACTATATGCACATAGTGTAATCAATCTTGTTCAGGTTGTAAGGACTATATGCACATAGTGTAATCAAGCTTGTTTAGGTTGTAATGACTATATGCACATAGTTTATTCAAGTGTTTACCATCTATACCAGTTGTAAGGTGTAGCACATGATATCAAGCGCGTATGCTATAATCCACTACACGTCATTACATTAAGTCTTCGTAATGTGATTTTTCGTATTTTCTTTACATCTTAAATTTCAATGCACTTTGAATATTAAATGGAACCTAAGAGTTGGTACATTTCTTTACCTTTGCCTATTCACCGCTGCTGTAACTGACAGACGTGTACTGTCTTTCTTCACGATCTCCATGCAAAGAACAAAATCAAACAGTAAATATATAAAGAAATTGCTCTTTCAGACAAAATCACATTTGAGATTCTTAAAAAATAGAACAACCTTCTCTTTATTAGGGATTTTATCTACTTTCCTGTTGCAGATTAATGGGGAAGATTATAAACAATCGCACCCAGTATTAGGAATCATCGTCACGGCCATGGTCCTCATTAATGTAAGTATGCTTTACAGCCATATCACTTCGATAATCCATACAGCTATTCTGTGAACAATTTGTTTCTGGGGACTCAGCCCAGTGATAAGGTAGCGGTATATGCCCTGGGTTATCTCTCAGTGGCTTATCAGACACTCCTTTAAAGGGTAATCAGGCAGGCTTCAAGAGGGACTCCTTTAAAGGGTTATCAGACAGGCTTCAAGAGACGCTCCTTTAAAGGGTAATTAAGCATTTTTTAAAAGACACTCTTTTAAAGGGAAATCAGACAGGCTTCAAGAGACACTCCTTTAAAGGGTAATCAGACAGACTTCAAGAGACAATCCTTTAAAGGGTAATCAAGCATTCTTTAAAAGACTCTCTTTTAAAGGGTAATCAGACAGGCTTTAAGGGACACTCCTTTAAAGGGTTATCAGGCAGGCTTCAATGGATGCTCCTTTAAAGGGTAATCAGACAGGCTTCAAGAGACACTTCTTTAAAGGGTTATCAGACAGGCTTTAAGGGACACTCCTTTAAAGGGTAATCAGACAGGCTTTAAGGGACAACCCTTTAAAGGGTAATCAGACAGGCTTCAAGAGACACTTGTTTAAAGGGTTATCAGACAGGCGTTAAGGGACACTCCTTTAAAGGGTAATCAGACAGGCTTTAAGGGACACCCCTTTAAAGGGTAATCAGACAGGCTTTAAGGGACACTCCTTTAAAGGGTAATCAGACAGGCTATAAGAGACACTCCTTTAAAGGGTTATCAGACAGGCTTTAATTAAAAGGGACACCCATTTAAAGGGTAATCAGACAGGCTTTAAGGGACACTCCTTTAAAGGGTAAACAGACAGGCTTTAAAAGACACTCTAATATATGGTTATCAGACAGGCGTCAAGAGACGCTCTTTTAAAGGGTTATCAGACAGGCTTCAACAATCTGAGTCATGGCTGTCCTAGTTACACCAACATGAGACATATCTCCTTGAAACTGATATGTATGCTTTGTGTTTAGTCTGCTACCGGCTCCATCAATCCTGGCGTGAGTAAGCCTTCTCAGTAATAGTGAATCATGCCACACATTCTGGCCAAAATAGCCTGTCCACCAATTCATAGATAGTAGACGACTGACAGTACCAAATTACTGCTGCCAAAACCCATGGTTTTAACTTTTAAATTAATATCCGGATAATGTACTGTCACGAGTCTTCTAGTTTATGTTAAGCACGAGCATCACCACTTCCATCCATGCTATACATACCCGGGCTATAACTGTACATACATCCTCACTGGACAAGGACTCCTCGTCGTAGTTGTCAAAACAGCTGATACAACTCTAAGATAAAATTGTGTTCTATTACAATAGACTCTTTTCCTGTTTCTGCTAAGCTGCTACACATTTCTGAACATTTAGTAACAATGATAATATTATTTATCATCGTTTTTACTGCACGATTAAATTATTTTTTTCAATTTCCATACTTTCGAGGCAAATACATAGAGGGTATTCAAGTACATTTAGCGTATCAGGAATTGACGTTCACATATACTGCTGTCCAAAACATGTATCCTCTATCACGACCTCACAATCAGAACTATAATTATAACATTGCCTATGTTTTCAAATGACACGTGTAATGTTTTCTTCAACAGCCGGTAATGGCGTACTTCCGACCTGGCCCCACATCGGAGAGAAGACCTCTCTTTAACTGGGCTCACTTCCTGGTTGGGATAGGGGCGTATTGCATAGCAGGTACTTGTCATCAAACACTTCCTGGTTGGGATAGGGGCGTCGCTGGTTGTTGTCATCACACACTTACTGGGTGGGATAGGGGCGTATTGCATGCAGGTAATTGACATCACACACATCACACACTTACTGGTTTGGAAAGGGGCGACGCTGGTTGTTGTCATCAAACACTTCCTGGTTGGGATAGGGGCGTCGCTGGATGTTGTCATCACACACTTACTGGTTGAGAAAGGGGCGTCCCTGGTTGTTGTCATCACACACTTACTGGTTGGGATAGGGGCGTCGCTGGTTGTTGTCATCACACACTTACTGGTTGGGATAGGGGCGTCGCTGGTTGTTGTCATCACACACTTATTGGTTGGGATAGGGGCGTCGCTGGTTGTTGTCATCACACACTTACTGGTTGGGATAGGGGCGTCGCTGGTTGTTGTCATCACACACTTATTGCTTGGGATAGGGGCGTCGCTGGTTATTGTCATCACACACTTACTGGTTGGGATAGGGGCGACACTGGTTGTTGTCATCACACACTTCCTGGTTGGAATGGGGCGTGGCAGGTAGCTGTCATCACACACTTCCTGGTTGGGATAGGGGAGTGGCAGGAAGCAGTCATCACACACTTCCTGGTTGGGATAGGGGCGTCCCTGGTTGTTGTCATCACATACTTACTGGTTGGGATAGGGGCGTCGCTGGTTGTTGTCATCACACTCTTATTGGTTGGGATAGGGGCGTCGCTGGTTGTTGTCATCACACACTTACTGGTTGGGATAGGGGCGTCGCTGGTTGTTGTCATCACACACTTCCTGGTTGGGATAGGGGCGTGGCAGATAGCAGTCATCACACACTTCCTGGTTGGGATAGGGGCGTGGCAGGTAGCAGTCATCACACACTTCCTGGTTGGGATAGGGGAGTGGCAGGTAGCAGTCATCACACACTTCCTGCTTGGGATAGGGGCGTCGCTGGTTGTTGTCATCACACACTTACTGGTTGGGATAGGGGCGTCGCTTGTTGTCATCACACACTTCCTGGTTGGGATAGGGGCGTCGCTGGTTGTTGTCATCACACACTTCCTGGTTGGGATAGGGGCGTGGCAGATAGCAGTCATCACACACTTCCTGGTTGGGATAGGGGACGGGCAGGTAGCAGTCATCACACACTTCCTGGTTGGGATAGAGGCGTCGCTGGTTGTTGTCATCACACACTTCCTGGTTGGGATAGAGGCGTCGCTGGTTGTTGTCATCACACACTTCCTGGTTGGGATAGGGGCGTCGCTGCTTGTTGTCATCACACACTTCCTGGTTGGATAGGGGCGTCGCTGGTTGTTGTCATCACAGACTTACTGGTTGGGATAGGGGCGTATTGCATGCAGGTAATTGTCATCACACACTTCCTGGTTGGGATAGGGGCGTCCCTGGTTGTTGTCATCACACACTTACTGGTTGGGATAGGGGCGTCGCTGGTTGTTGTCATCACACACTTCCTGGTTGGGATAGGGGCGTGGCAGATAGCAGTCATCACACACTTCCTGGTTGGGATAGGGGCGTGGCAGGAAGCTGTCATCACACACTTCCTGGTTGGGATAGGGGAGTGGCAGGAAGCAGTCATCACACACTTCCTGGTTGGGATAGGGGCGTCCCTGGTTGTTGTCATCACATACTTACTGGTTGGGATAGGGGCGTCGCTGGTTGTTGTCATCACACTCTTATTGGTTGGGATAGGGGCGTCGCTGGTTGTTGTCATCACACACTTACTGGTTGGGATAGGGGCGTCGCTGGTTGTTGTCATCACACACTTCCTGGTTGGGATAGGGGCGTGGCAGATAGCAGTCATCACACACTTCCTGGTTGGGATAGGGGCGTGGCAGGTAGCAGTCATCACACACTTCCTGGTTGGGATAGGGGAGTGGCAGGTAGCAGTCATCACACACTTCCTGCTTGGGATAGGGGCGTCGCTGGTTGTTGTCATCACACACTTACTGGTTGGGATAGGGGCGTCGCTTGTTGTCATCACACACTTCCTGGTTGGGATAGGGGCGTCGCTGGTTGTTGTCATCACACACTTCCTGGTTGGGATAGGGGCGTGGCAGATAGCAGTCATCACACACTTCCTGGTTGGGATAGGGGACGGGCAGGTAGCAGTCATCACACACTTCCTGGTTGGGATAGAGGCGTCGCTGGTTGTTGTCATCACACACTTCCTGGTTGGGATAGGGGCGTCGCTGCTTGTTGTCATCACACACTTCCTGGTTGGATAGGGGCGTCGCTGGTTGTTGTCATCACAGACTTACTGGTTGGGATAGGGGCGTATTGCATGCAGGTAATTGTCATCACACACTTCCTGGTTGGGATAGGGGCGTCCCTGGTTGTTGTCATCACACACTTACTGGTTGGGATAGGGGCGTCGCTGGTTGTTGTCATCACACACTTCCTGGTTGGGATAGGGGCGTGGCAGATAGCAGTCATCACACACTTCCTGGTTGGGATAGGGGCGTGGCAGGAAGCTGTCATCACACACTTCCTGGTTGGGATAGGGGAGTGGCAGGAAGCAGTCATCACACACTTCCTGGTTGGGATAGGGGCGTCCCTGGTTGTTGTCATCACATACTTACTGGTTGGGATAGGGGCGTCGCTGGTTGTTGTCATCACACTCTTATTGGTTGGGATAGGGGCGTCGCTGGTTGTTGTCATCACACACTTACTGGTTGGGATAGGGGCGTCGCTGGTTGTTGTCATCACACACTTCCTGGTTGGGATAGGGGCGTGGCAGATAGCAGTCATCACACACTTCCTGGTTGGGATAGGGGCGTGGCAGGTAGCAGTCATCACACACTTCCTGGTTGGGATAGGGGAGTGGCAGGTAGCGGTCATCACACACTTCCTGCTTGGGATAGGGGCGTCGCTGGTTGTTGTCATCACACACTTACTGGTTGGGATAGGGGCGTCGCTTGTTGTCATCACACACTTCCTGGTTGGGATAGGGGCGTCGCTGGTTGTTGTCATCACACACTTCCTGGTTGGGATAGGGGCGTGGCAGATAGCAGTCATCACACACTTCCTGGTTGGGATAGGGGACTGGCAGGTAGCAGTCATCACACACTTCCTGGTTGGGATAGAGGCGTCGCTGGTTGTTGTCATCACACACTTCCTGGTTGGGATAGAGGCGTCGCTGGTTGTTGTCATCACACACTTCCTGGTTGGGATAGGGGCGTCGCTGCTTGTTGTCATCACACACTTCCTGGTTGGATAGGGGTGTCGCTGGTTGTTGTCATCACAGACTTACTGGTTGGGATAGGGGCGTATTGCATGCAGGTAATTGTCATCACACACTTCCTGGTTGGGATAGGGGCGTCCCTGGTTGTTGTCATCACACACTTACTGGTTGGGATAGGGGCGTCCCTGGTTGTTGTCATCACACACTTCCTGGTTGGATAGGGGCGTCGCTGGTTGTTGTCATCACACGCTCCCTGGTTGGGATAGGGGAGTGGCAGATAGCAGTCATCACACACTTCCTGTTTGGGATAGGGGAGTAGCAGTCATCACACACTTCCTGGTTGGGATGGGGCATGGCAGGTAGCAGTCATCACACACTTCCTGCTTGGGATTGGGAGTGGCAGGTAGCAGTCATCACACACTTCCTGGTTGGGATAGGGGCGTAGCAGTCATCACACACTTCCTGGGTGGGATAGGGGGTGGCAGGTAGTGGTCATCACACACTGGTTAGGACAGAGGGCGTATTACATGAAACTGATACTGGAGACTGCTTATTCTCTGGCATTTCATATTCACCTTAACATATCTTCAAGGAGAGCTGGTGACACATTACAGACGAGTGTTGAGCTTGCTGTTTGAGTGTAAATCGTGTTCCTGCCTTTGTTTCAGTTATTAATATATTCTTCGGACTGAAGCTGAGCAAGTCGGGCGCTCCTGACTACATGGTGTACGTGCTGGCGGGCTACGTGGTCTGGCAGCTCATCACCGAGATCAGCCTGGAAGCATTGCAGTGTCTCTCCAAGCAGAAAGGTCACACGTTGTATTTGTTTTTAAATGAATATTGTCACGAGACAGTTGGGCGGAAGAACCGCAGTGTGTGCTGATTATATATATCAATTCAGCTGACAACCAGACCCCATGTCAAAACGACGAGTATATTTTTACAGTAAGGAATATCTTATTTATATGATACGTTTACCTATTAATAAATTTATAGGCACAATCTTGGAGGCACGTCTATTAAAATAAGATAACCAGAAGGAGTCTGTACAAGTCAGTACAGGAAGGATTTTTTTAGCAACTGTTGGTTTTCTCTCTGTCCAGATGCAACAATGTTTGACGGGATTCCGATGCAGAATAAGGCCAACTCAAACCCCTCCGACAAGCCGTTGGGATCAACACAGGTTCATGTAAGAAGCTTAAATCATAGTCTATGCTTTTCCTCTTTGCACACATCCAATACAGGTTTTAAGGCACTCAGTCTATTGAGCGAGCTGCCACCGTACCAATCTCACGCTGGGCTAAGTCCTGATTGCAAAGAACCATTGGGTGGCACATTGGAAGGATTGGAAGAAATGACGAGCGCGGGAAGGCATTGAGCTGGCACATGGGTTAGATGAGCTTAACGGCGGTCTAGAATTTATTTCGGTTATTTTACACTGTGTGGGAATAATGTTGGCGCAAAGCATCACATGATGCATGATGGTATTTGACGTGTGGGTATGGTGGTATTTGACGTGCGAGGATGGTGGTATTTGACATGTGAGTATGGTGATATTTGACATGTGAGTATGGTGGTATTTGACATGTGAGTATGGTGATATTTGACATGTGAGTATGGTGGTATTTGACATGTGAGTATGGTGATATTTGACACGTGAGTATGGTGGTATTTGACATGTGAGTATGGTGATATTTGACATGTGAGTATGGTGGTATTTGACATGTGAGTATGGTGATATTTGACATGTGAGTATGGTGGTATTTGACATGTGAGTATGGTGGTATTTGACATGTGAGTATGGTGATATTTGACATGTGAGTATGGTGATAGTTGACATGTGAGTATGGTGATATTTGACGTGCTACTATGGTGATATTTGACATGTGAGTATGATGATATTTGACATGTGAGTATGGTGGTATTTGACATGTGAGTATGGTGGTATTTGGCGTGGGTGTGGTGGTATTTGACGTTTGAGTGTTGTGGTATTTGACATGTGAGTATGGTGGTATTTGACATGAGTATGGTGATATTTGACATGTGAGTATGGTGGTATTTGACATGTGAGTATGGTGATATTTGACATGTGAGTATGGTGGTATTTGATATGTGAGTATGGTGATATTTGACATGTGAGTATGGTGGTATTTGACACGTGAGTATGGTGGTATTTGACATGTGAGTGTTGTGGTATTTGACATGTGAGTATGGTGATATTTGACATGTAAGTATGGAGGTATTTGATATGTGAGTATGGTGGTATTTGACATATGTGTATGGTGGTATTTGGCGTGGGTGTGGTGGTATTTGACATGTGAGTATGGTGGTATTTGACATGTGAGTTTGGTGGTATTTGACATATGTGTATGGTGGTATTTGGCGTGGGTGTGGTGATATTTGACGTTTGAGTGTTGTGGTATTGCACATAGGAGTATGGTGGTATTTGACATGTGAGTTTGGTGATATTTGACATGTGAGTATGGTGGTATTTGACATGTGAGTATGGTGATATTTGACATGTGAGTATGGTGATATTTGACATGTGAGTTTGGTGATATTTGACATGTGAGTATGGTGATATTTGACATGTGAGTATGGTGATATTTGACATGTGAGTATGGTGATATTTGACATGTGAGTATGGTGGTATTTGACATGTGAGTTTGGTGGTATTTGACATATGTGTATGGTGGTATTTGGCGTGGGTGTGGTGGTATTTGACGTTTGAGTGTTGTGGTACTGCACATAGGAGTATGGTGGTATTTGACATGTGAGTTTGGTGATATTTGACATGTGAGTATGGTGATATTTGACATGTGAGTATGGTGATATTTGATATGTGTGTATGGTGATATTTTACATGTGAGAATGGTGGTATTTGACATGTGAGTATGGTGATATTTGACATGAGTATGCTGGTATTTGACATGTGAGTATGGTGATATTTGACATGAGTATGCTGGTATTTGACATGTGAGTATGGTGGTATTTGGCGTGGGTGTGGTGGTATTTGACGTTTGAGTGTTGTGGTATTTGACATGTGAGTATGGTGGTATTTGACATGAGTATGGTGATATTTGACATGTGAGTATGGTGGTATTTGACATGTGAGTATGGTGGTATTTGACATGTGAGTATGGTGATATTTGACACGTGAGTATGGTGGTATTTGACATGTGAGTTTGGTGATATTTGACATGTGAGTATGGTGGTATTTGACATGTGAGTTTGGTGATATTTGACATGAGTATGGTGGTATTTGACATGTGAGTTTGGTGGTATTTGACATGAGTATGGTGATATTTGACATGTGAGTTTGGTGGTATTTGACATGTGAGTTTGGTGGTATTTGACATGAGTATGGTGATATTTGACAAGTGAGTATGGTGGTATTTGACATGTGAGTTTGGTGATATTTGACATGAGTATGGTGGTATTTGACATGTGAGTTTGGTGGTATTTGACATGAGTATGGTGGTATTTGACATGTGAGTTTGGTGGTATTTGACATATGTGTATGGTGGTATTTGGCGTGGGTGTGGTGGTATTTGACGTTTGAGTGTTGTGGTATTGCACATAGGAGTATGGTGGTATTGCACATAGGAGTATGGTGATATTTGAAATGTGAGTATGGTGGTATTTGACATGTGAGTATGGTGGTATTTGACATGTGAGTATGGTGATATTTGACATGAGTATGGTGGTTTTTGACATGTGAGTTTGGTGATATTTGACATGAGAATGGTGGTATTTGACATGTGAGTTTGGTGGTATTTGACATGAGTATGGTGGTATTTGACATGTGAGTTTGGTGGTATTTGACATATGTGTATGGTGGTATTTGGCGTGGGTGTGGTGGTATTGCACATAGGAGTATGGTGGTATTGCACATAGTGAGTGAGTGAGTGAGTTAATGCTTTACGTCACATCGGCAATATTTCAGCCATATCGTGACGAAATTGCACATAGGAGTATGGTGATATTTGACATGTGAGTTTGGTGATATTTGACATGAGTATGGTGGTATTTGACATGTGAGTTTGGTGATATTTGACATGAGTATGGTGGTATTTGACATGTGAGTTTGGTGGTATTTGACATGAGTATGGTGGTATTTGACATGTGAGTTTGGTGATATTTGACATGTGAGTATGGTGGTATTTGACATGTGAGTTTGGTGATATTTTACATGAGTATGGTGGTATTTGACATGTGGGTTTGGTGGTATTTGACATGAGTATGGTGGTATTTGACATGTGAGTATGGTGGTATTTGACATATGTGTATGGTGGTATTTGGCGTGGGTGTGGTGGTATTTGACGTTTGAGTGTTGTGGTATTGCACATAGGAGTGTTGTGGTATTGAACATAGGAGTATCGTGATATTTGACATGTGAGTATGGTGGTATTTGACATGTGAGTATGGTGGTATTTGACATGTGAGTTTGGTGATATTTGACATGCGTATGGTGGTATTTGACATGTGAGTTTGGTGATATTTGACATGAGTATGGTGGTATTTGACATGTGAGTTTGGTGGTATTTGACATGTGAGTTTGGTGGTATTTGACATATGTGTATGGTGGTATTTGGCGTGGGTGTGGTGGTATTTGACGTTTGAGTGTTGTGGTATTTCACATAGGAGTATGGTGGTATTGCACATAGGAGTATGGTGATATTTGACATGTGAGTATGGTGGTATTTGACATGTGAGTATGGTGATATTTGACGTGTGAGTATGGTGGTATTTGACATGTGAGTATGGTGGTATTTGACATGTGAGTATGGTGGTATTTGGCGTGGGTGTGGTGGTATTTGACGTTTGAGTGTTGTGGTATTGCACATAGGAGTATGGTGGTATTTTACATGTCATATCTCTGTTCATTGTTTCAGTACGTGACCTTGAAGCACCTGCTACTGGGGCTGCACGTGTGTCTGGTGACCGGCTTCACGGCGACAGTCGTCATACTGCTGCTTTGAGACATCCATAATCTTGTCATATCATCTGATCAAACACAGACATAACAATCATGACGTGAAACAGAAAATGGGAAACATGCTTTTGGTTTTTGAAAGTCATGATACATTGAATTGATTCCCACTGAATTCACGACAACAGTGTCTGACTATAATACACATAACTGCTGACGCCAGCGCATTATTTAGACTTTCTATAAAGTATATTTAATTTCATAGCTACTTGAACTGTTAAGAAAGGGAAGAGAGCCCAGTGGTCTCATATTCCTCAATTCGTTCTACAAAATTGTATCCCTCAGTCGTGTCAGGATCTGCTGACCCTCGGCTTTCCACAGATTCCCCCTGATTGTGATCGTTGGGTCCTTGAACCCATACCAACACTCGTTAGTTACACCAAAGGCGTAGACGTCTAAGACCAGTGTGGCTGTCATCGTGATATAACTGAAATACTGTTAAACTGCCTCATTCACACCAGACCCGTGAAGATCCGAAGTAGAAAATGCTTGCCGTAAATGCGACTGTGCTTGTAAGGCGCGACGAACGGGATCGGGTGGTCAGACTTGGTTGATGCATGGCATCGTATCTCAGCGGATCGATGCTCATGATGTCAGTCACTGGATTGTCTGGTCCAGACTCAATAAGTTATAGACGCCGTCATACAGCTTGAATATTGCTGAATGTGGCGTTAAACATCAAACAGACAAACATTCACACCAAATGATCAACACTCTTCTGGGGCTGCGCGTTGAGACATCCGTTAGGTAATCCACACGCTATGAATAGATTGCAAAAGCTCAAAAGATCGTAGACAAGTAGAGAATATGACATGTCCGTCTCTAAAATTGGCGCGAGAAAGACCGAAAAGGTTTGGCAGCAAGTATTTATGAATGTGTAGGAGGTCTCAGGTCCAGTGTACCAGTGTGAGAATGTGTTCACGACTTGAACAGGTGCGTTGAGAATCAAATATCAGTCGCGTTTGATGCCCAATTAGACCTGTTGAACACAAATCCACAAACAATGACTATGCCAAATCTTTACGTTCACGTAAACCCATGCTGTTCCTCCCTTGTACTATGTACATAAATACCATTTATAGTGTACCATTTTTGTTTTGTGAATTTCTGTACAGGCGATATGAAGGTTTGTTGTTTTACACCGCAATATTACAATAAACCTAGTGGTTTCAGCAACGCTCCACTGCGTACAATGGCATAGTCTGACCTTTTGTACCCTACAATTCCCTCTGAGTCACTGACATGGAAACTATTTAATTAAAATCGGGAAAAGTTACCTGGTCTACAACTTTCGACAACAAGCCTTTCGGTTACGCGCCTCCCGACACAACTGCCTGACACAGTTTTAGTTCTGACTCCGTCGCTGTCTGGCGATTTACAAGTCGTCTGGAGCACATCACGAAGGCCTGCAGTCAGCAATATTACAGCTATATCACAGTGACCGGTAATCAGGAATTTTAAAGTTATATCACAGTGGCCTGTAGTCAGCAATATTATAGCTATATAACGGAGGCCTGCAGTCTGCAATATTACAGCTATATCACGGAGGCCTGTAGTATACAATTTTACAGCCATATCATGGAGGCCTGCAGTCTGCAATATTACAGCTATATCACGGAGGCCTGTAGTATACAATATTACAGCTATATCACGGAGGCCTGTAGTATACAATTTTACAGCCATATCACGGAGGCCTGCAGTCGGCAATATTACAGCTATATCACGGAGGCCTGCAGTATACAATTTTACAGCTATATAATTGGAGGCCTGTAGTATACAATTTAAAAGGCATATCACGGAGGCCTGCGGTCTGCAACATTATTGCTATATCACGGAGGCCTGTAGTATACAATTTTACAGCTATATCACGGAGGCCTGCAGTCGGCAATATTACAGCTATATCACGGAGGCCTGCAGTATACAATTTTACAGCTATATGACGGAGGCCTGTAGTATACAATTTAAAAGGCATATCACGGAGGCCTGCAGTCTGCAATATTACAGCTATATCACGGAGGCCTGTAGTATACAATTTTACAGCTATATCACGGAGGCCTGTAGTATACAATTTTACAGCCATATCACGGAGGCCTGCAGTCTGCAATATTACAGCTATATCACGGAGGCTTGTAGTATACAATATTACAGCTATATCACGGAGGCCTGTAGTATACAATTTTACAGCCATATCGCGGAGGCCTGCAGTCGGCAATATTACAGCTATATCACGGAGGCCTGTAGTATACAATTTTACAGCTATATCACGGAGGCCTGCAGTCGGCAATATTACAGCTATATCACGGAGGCCTGCAGTATACAATTTTACAGCCATATCACGGAGGCCTGCAGTCGGCAATATTACAGCTATATCACGGAGGCCTGCAGTATACAATTTTACAGCTATATCATGGAGGCCTGTAGTATACAATTTAAAAGGCATATCACGGAGGCCTGCGGTCTGCAATATTATTGCTATATCACGGAGGCCTGTAGTATACAATTTTACAGCCATATCACGGAGGCCTGCAGTCGGCAATATTACAGCTATATCACGGAGGCCTGCAGTCTGCAATATTATTGCTATATCACGGAGGCCTGTAGTATACAATTTTACAGCCATATCATGGAGGCCTGCAGTCTGCAATATTACAGCTATATCACGGAGGCCTGCAGTATACAATTTTACAGCTATATCACGGAGGCCTGTAGTATACAATTTAAAAGGCATATCACGGAGGCCTGCAGTCGGCAATATTATTGGTATATCACGGAGGCCTGTAGTATACAATTTTACAACTATATCACGGAGGCCTGCAGTATGCAATATTATTGCTATATCACGGAGGCCTGTAGTATACAATTTTACAGCCATATCACGGAGGCCTGCAGTCTGCAATATTATTGCTATATCACGGAGGCCTGCAGTCTGCAATATTATTGCTATATCACGGAGGCCTGTAGTATACAATTTTACAACTATATCACGGAGGCCTGCAGTCTGCAATATTATTGCTATATCACGGAGGCTTGTAGTATACAATTTTACAGCCATATCACGGAGGTCTGCAGTCGGAAATATTACAGCTATATCACGGAGGCCTGCAGTATACAATTTTACAGCCATATCACGGAGGCCTGCAGTCTGCAATATTATTGCTATATCACGGAGGCCTGCAGTCGGCAATATTATTGCCATATCACGGAGGCCTGCAGTCTGCAATATTATTGCTATATCACGGAGGCCTGTAGTATACAATTTTTACAGCCATATCACGGAGGCCTGCAGTCTGCAATATTATTGCTATATCACGGAGGCCTGCAGTCTGCAATATTATTGCTATATCACGGAGGCCTGTAGTATACAATTTTACAGCCATATCACGGAGGCCTGTAGTATACAATTTTACAGCCATATCGCGGAGGCCTGTAGTATACAATATTACAGCTATATCACGGAGGCCTGTAGTATACAATTTTACAGCCATATCACGGAGGCCTGCAGTCGGCAATATTATTGCTATATCACGGCTGCCTGTAGTATACAATTTTACAGCCATATCACGGAGGCCTGCAGTCGGCAATATTATTGCTATATCACGGAGGCCTGCAGTCTGCAATATTATTGCTATATCACGGAGGCCTGTAGTATACAATTTTACAGCCATATCACGGAGGCCTGCAGTCTGCAATATTACAGCTGTATCACGGAGGCCTGCAGTCTGCAATATTATTGCTATATCACGGAGGCCTGTAGTATACAATTTTACAGCCATATCACGGAGGCCTGCAGTCGGCAATATTACAGCTATATCACGGGGGCCTGTAGTATACAATTTTACAGCCATATCACGGAGGCCTGCAGTCGGCAATATTATTGCTATATCACGGAGGCCTGCAGTCGGCAATATTATTGCCATATCACGGAGGCCTGCAGTCGGCAATATTATTGCTATATCACGGAGGCCTGCAGTCGGCAATATTATTGCCATATCACGGAGGCCTGCAGTCGGCAATATTATAGCTATATCACGGAGGCCTGTAGTATACAATTTTACAGCCATATCACGGAGGCCTGCAGTCGGCAATATTATTGCTATATCACGGAGGCCTGCAGTGTGCAATATTATTGCTATATCACGGAGGCCTGTAGTATACAATTTTACAGCCATATCATGGAGGCCTGCAGTCGGCAATATTACAGCTATATCACGGCTGCCTGTAGGATTACTCGGCCCATAACTTTATTTGCATTCGTCTCGCCGTGACTATCATCCTCAATGCGCAACACTAAATAGGCCCACCTTTTTAGTGTATGTAAATACGTTATTCGTTTATTTGTTCGCTAGAAACAAATGTTATAAACCCAATTAAGAGGAAATTAAATATTGTCTTATATATTGTGAAATATTGTTAACGAAAAACAAGGGCCCAAAGGAACTGTCAGCAGGATTGATCAGGCAAGATTCTATAAACACCTTCTCAAATCCATCAATGGATTGTAATATTTTTGGACGAATTTTTCCTCTTTAAAACTAATTTGAAAATGATAATTATTTCATGTCGTCTTTTTTTTTTTTTTTTTTGTTCCTGAACATGATGAGCACGTTTTTATTATATAAAAAAACCCAACTTATTCAGTGGAGAATTTTTCTTTTGAAACATAGTCATCTAATTTCCCAATATTTGTGAATGACAAGAAACAATGTGAATTTGACAAGCAAAATAATATAGTGTGTGAAACATAAATACATAGGATATATGTAAACAATAAATTATCATTTCAGTAGTTCTACAAATATTTTCATTTTAATACCCTTGTAATTTTGCATTGTTATTTTACTGCAACAGTTACTTCCAAACTTTATTCTTTTGTTATTTTATCAGATTAGAAGTTAAGACTTACTGATAATAGGTAATTTAAAATTAACATTTTCTTGTTTTTATCTTCATGAAAACAAGACATAATAATAAATATGTATTTTAGTGACCTGTTCATATGTGATTTTTTTTGTAAAAAGTATTAAAATTAAAATCAGACATTGCTAATGTAAAGAAATGAGGTTTATGGTAAAATGTTATAAGAGGACCTCTTGTTGGTCATTTCTTCATCACCCATAAATTTGAGTTTTTCTTTACTTACCATGTTCTGAAAATTTACACATTAGAATAATTTAAGGTCTCTGCTTAAAATAGCGACACAGCTTTCCACTCCCAGGCAGCCAATTAGATTATGTGAAACAAATATAAACCACTGTAAACCTTGTAATGGGAGAATAATAAATGAAAATACATTTCTTATTTTGTCATATGTCCAGTTTATCATCCCAAGAAATGCTACATAATCATCATTAAAATTAAGCTAGCTATGCATATTGGGATTCTTTATCTGCTATGATAATATAATAATTGCATTATAAAAGAAGTGGTTTTTTTCAGTAATCATGGTTAATAACAAATCTTTGGTTTAAAGAATATACTTGAGGCAAACCTTATTCGACATGTCTTAATACTCTGTATTGTCTGTAAATTCTGAAAATAATTAACTGTGATATTGAGTTTCTACCTAAAACTAATAATATGAAATTAATTTTGAAATTATTTCATCCTATCTAAAGTACAAGATATATTTTAAGATTCAAAGATGTACATCATTGTTGAAAAAAAAAGAATATTGTTTTTGAATAAAATACCTAATAAGGTTGTTTGGTGCCCACCATCTTTATCTTCATAATTTTGTCTGCTCCATATGATAAATCAAAATAGTTAAGGAAAAATATAAATACATATATTACTTTCTGGAGTTTATTTAGATTTAGGTATGACTTAGGTATGATTTAGGTATGACTTCGGTTATCGTCTTCTCATTCTGCAACTGAATCTGGTACATTTGGAAGCCGAAATTCTCTGATATATCTCCACATATCACATCCCTTCTTCCCCAACAAATTTTCGCTCGGTCACCAACTTCCGGCAATGGAAACATTGCCAATACGGTAATGGTTTGCCAGCTGGGGATTTCCTGTACTAGACGACCTCGGGTATCCCCGATCCGAAAATAGTGCCGTCAATTATTTTTAGCCTGCCAATCAAACGCGATGACACAACTCTCCACTCTCAAGCCAGCCAATCAGATTGGGTGAAAAAAATAAACCACTGCTGGGGATTGAAGATCAAGCCCTGTTATGGGAGAATCAGCAATATTACACAAATATCACGGAGACCTTTAGTTACCACCATTAATCTACTGTCCGTTATACGCTCAATCATCCCGCATAATATAGAAGCACTGGAGGGCCAATACGATCTATGTGCGTGATTGCATTCCTTAAACTGCAATCACAATGTCGACAGACTGCTTTCATCAAATTTTGTTGGAGCGTGGATCCGGAGTTCACATTACTGTGATATGTGACATTTTTTTCTGGATCTCCTTGACTGGTACGACACGGAAACATAAAGTTTAAGTAGTCAGTTAATAAATATGTCATTAAATGGATGCTTTCATACATGCATATATTAACGCATATTCCAATTGCGTTAATGGAGTCTTAAGATGTCAATCACTGTATTGTCTGATCCAGACTCAGATACAGACCGCCATCATATACATGTTGCTGGAATACTGCGATAAACAAAAAAAACAAAAAATCATAATGGCCTTGTTATCAGTCCTCAGTCAGTCACATTGGCCCTCGGCAGGCTGTGTTGTCCCCCGGGGCTGCCTCGACAGGTGTAACCTAACCTGTCAGCCTGACCCTGACATTTTTATTACCCGCCGAGGGCCACTATGACTGACTGAGGACCAATAACACGACCAACATAAAACACCAGTTAATTACATTTATTGAGTGAGTGAGTGAGTGAGTTTGGTTTTAACGCCGATTTTAACACAATTTCAGTTATATCACGGCGTGTCAGCTTAATGTGGGAGGAAAGCCCGAAGTGATGCAGGTCTCAGACGTTTACCACTTCGGTGAAACCCACGAGCACGGGTATGGTGCTGACAAACCTAGAAACATAATCGGGGCGAACCGGGATTCAAACCCACAATAATAGGTTTCTGGCGTGCCCAAGGGACGCAACTCGGCACAGCGAATCGCGGCGCCTTATACTCTGTTTATACGGCGAAAAATTGCATATATGCAAATTTGCACACATATGCAAATTTACACACGTGAGCAAAAGGATATTTGCTGTGCATTCATACGAAGTCCCAATAGTAAATGTGGAGTAAATTGTCAAAACAATCCATTTCTGTCATAACCATGGAAAAGATCAGACTTGAATGTTTACGCAAGCGCAGGAAATTTCCCTATTTCCTGAGTGTAGCTCTAGCTCTGGGTTGTTTAAATGTAAGAGAAATAAGAAGAAAACCCCGGTCGAAGAAGTGGTATGAGAAGGTTGTTCTACAGCACTTTGAAGAGACAGACTGGCTAGAAAACTTCAGAATGAAGAGGAAACATTGGATTTCATTTGCAGAAGACTTGGAAGATGAACTCAATTGCCATTTACTGGCTTGCATCTTCGTCAGAGTACAGGACAGTCGGTAATCTCTTTGGTGTTGGGAAGGCTACTGTGTGTGTTTGTGTCCATCAGGTGTGTGAGGCAATTTTGAAAGTCCTATTGGATGAGTATGTTAAATTCCCTGAGGGGGAAGCCCTGAAGGATGTGATAAAAGGATATGAGGAAAGATGGGATTTTCCTAACTGTGCAGGGTCCATTGATGGTAGTCACATTCCCATCATCGCCCCCAAACAGTCACATGGCGATTACTTGAACAGGAAGGGTTTTTATTCACTGATCCTACAGGGAGTTTGTGACCATCGATACATGTTTACAGACATTAACATTGGGTGGTCAGGTCGGGTCCAGGATGCCCGCGTTTTTGCCAAATCCGATATTTACATTCAAGGTGATAATGGCATTCTTTTCCCCACATGGAACAAGAAGGTTGGTGATTCCAATATGCCAGTGGTACTACTTGGTGATGCGGCCTACCCATTAAAGACTTGGCTTTTAAAGCCTTTCTCCAACATAGCCAATCTAACTCCTGCTCAAGCCACATTCAACTATCGCCTTAGCAGGGCAAGGATGACGACAGAGAATGCCTTCGGTCGTTTGAAGGGACGCTGGAGATGCTTACAAAAGCAATTGGACATCGATGTGGAGTTTGCTTGCACAGTGATTGGTTGTTGCATTGTCTTGCATAACATATGTGAGAGTGTCAATGAAACCTACAGGGATGAGTGGAATGAAGACACAGATGATGACACAGATGATGAACAAGTGGGCGTACAGGATGGAGGTGACGAATCTGTCCGTTGTGCAAAGACCCTTAGGGATGATATTGCACAGGCTTTCATGAACAACGACCTTTGAGCAATTTGTTGTGTGTGAAACATTAAACTTTGCAACCATTTTAGCTACTTAATTGAAGGAAATAATATTTTATTCAACAGAAGAGATTCTTTCTTTAATTTGTTTATTGCCTAAAACATTTCAAAGTTACGTCTTACAAATAGGGAGAGAGAAAAAAATAATTCTGGTTAACTTTGTTTTACGACACCATATATGCAAGTGCATATTCGAGAATGACAGAGAGTTGCACGTTTTCAACCTTTTTTGCTTTCATGTGATTTTTACATGATCATCTCGCACAGCCTTGTGCAAGTAAAGAAACCGTAATAAACTTAAAGTTTCAAAAGTGTTTGCTTGAGTGAATTATTACTCTTGACTTCGAACGTGAAGTGTAAATCACCAAATATGAAACGTTTTCACAAATTAAAATAAAGTTCGTTTCCGCAAAACTTGTGGTTTTCTTTACTGTTCTGTATGTAAATACATGTTGTGTCCTTAATTCTTCACAAGAATACAGTTCTTCACAAATTGAAAAATGTGCCTTCTTCTTGCTTATCCGTGTCTGAATATGACCATGAAGGGTTAGTGCCAGACGACTGACCATGACATGAATACGAGAGTGAGGAAGGACCTTGACCTCTGTAAACCTGACCTTCACCAGAATGCATAGAACTCACAGGGAATGATGGCATTGAATGTGGTTGCCCTGCCTGTCGTTGGCCGATTGCTCCCATAATCATCTTCATCATGTTGTCATGAGTAGATGTTCACGTTCCTCCCTCTTCTGTCTTTCCTCTGTTTCTATTTTCGCCTTTTTAATGTCGAGTTTTTGTTTCTCCAAGTCAAGTTTTCGTCTTTCAATATCCACGACTTTGTCTTCTGCTTTCTCATTGGCTGCACCAAATCCATCCATGACTGACTTCAGTGCCACTTCCAACCTTGTCTTTCGCATCCTTTTCTTTTCGCTCTCTGCTTTGTCAGCGGATTCTTCTTTCTTCCTTTTTTCTACCAATCCTTCATCCCTTTTCTCTTTTGTGTCTGACGACTACTTCTCCTTTCTGTGATCATCTTCTCTCTCAAGAGGTGTAATGCCACTGAGATCATCGTTGACAGACTGTGGAAAGTCCCCATAATCATTATCATCATTATCACTTTCATCAGCTTCTTCGAGTCCAGCTTTCTTCATTAAAGTATCGATCACTTTCAGGGGCGATGATGCAGGTCTGTTTCCGAGAATGACGTCCAGTTCTTCGAAGAATTTGCAGGTTTTCCTTCCCTTACCACTCTTTTTCATGCTTGTTTTACATTCTCTGTACGATCTTTTCAGAGTATGAATTCGTACTTTACATTGATCTGGTGTTTTCTCGAAACCCTTCTCAGCCATTTCGCTTGCAACCGTTTTATAAATAGACCCATTATTTGTTTTGGGGTTTTCAAGTTGTTCTTCAATACAATTCTCTTCCCATATTCCTAAAAGACATCTCGTTTCATCGTCGCTCCATGCAGACCCACGTTTTTGGCCTCATTTGTTCTTTTTCTGCTAGCCATTTTTGCCTGTCTGGTCTGTTTGAAGTCTAGACATCAACTGGTATAATTTGACCAATGAGGATTAAGCGTTGCCAATAACACGCGCTTAAAATAGATATTATGCAATAAGTTGGGAAATATACTTACTGTATGTAAATTTGCTATGCGTCCATACGACCAAATTTGCTCACGGTAGCAAAAAATACACATCTAAACTGCATATACTCACAGGTTGTAGCAAATTTGCACCTAGTCCCAACTAGGTGTAAATTTACTCATATGAGTAAAATCTGCACATGAGTAAATGCGTCCATTCGGTCAAATTTGCTCACATAAGCAAATTTGCACATATGCCAAAAATACACACGTGTGCAAATGTCGCCGTATAAACAGGGCTTTAGACGACTGGGCCACCCGTGCCCCCACATTTATTTAAAACACGTATTGGCCACCTTGTAGGCTGATTAGAGAATATTAAGGACAGTCAATTAATAAAATGCTATTAATGTGGGTGTTTTCAAATTGGCCTATTTGTCAGTCAGCAATATTGGCGCTGAGGTGATTTTAGCACCACAATAGCTTTATGACAGTCGTGGAGCTAACATATAACCAGCCACCCTTGGAGAGTTTCCAGGATGTGAGCGAATAGTGTTAATATGGGCTTAACACAGTGAATATAACAAATAATAAACAAATCCTATATCCGCGTGAATAATCGCGATAAACATGGCCGTCGGAAAACGTGATGACCGAAAACCTTTGATCTGATGATATATGATGCTGACGAAGCAAGAGGACACTTGAAAATAACATAGATATGAAATATGCATATTTTTACTGTTTTCATGATGAAAACACTATAATTATTCCTCTTTGACATTTTCCAAATTGCACATAGATGCATGATAATAACCACTTTTACTGATCTATAAAATAGTTTCAAAATCACTTTTACTGATCTACAAAACAGTTTCAAAATCACTTTTACTGATCAATAAAAGAGTTTCAAAATAACTTTTACTGATCTATAAAACTTTTTCAGAATCACTTTTTTCTGATCTAATCACATCTTCCTAATCACTTTTCCTGATCTAATCACATCTTCCCAATCACTTTTACTGATCTAATCAGTTTCCAAATCACTCTTACTGATCTAATCACATCTTCCTAACTACTTTTACTGATCTATAAAACAGTTTCAAAATCACTTTTACTGATCTAATCAGATCTTCCTAACCACATTTACTGATCAATAAGACAGTTTTCTAATCACTTTCACTAATCTAATCATATCTTACTAATCAGCTTTACTGATCTAATCAGTTTCCCAATCAATTCTACTGATCTACAAGTTTCAAAATCACTTTTACTTATCTAGTTTCAAAATCACCTTTACTGATCTAATCAGTTTCCTAAACACTTTTACTAATCTAATCACACCTTCCTAATCACTTTGTCATAGTTTCCTAATCATTTTTACACAGTTAGAAATCACTATTACTGATCTGATCAGTTTCCGAATCAATTCCACTGTCTCTCTGATCTTATCATAGTTTCCGTAACAGGATTACGGATCTAATCAGTTTGCAAATCACTTTTACTGATCTTATCAGTTTCCATATCACTTTTAGTGATCTAATCACAGTTTCCAAATCACTTTTACTGATATCATCACAGTTTCCAAATCACTTTTACTGATATCATCAGAGTTTCCAAATCACATTTACTGATCTAATCATAGTTTCCTAATCAGTTTTACTGATCTTACCACAGTTTCCAGACCCAAGAAGATCCGGGGTAGAATAGATCTTCAGCAACCCATGTTTGCTTGTCGTAAGAGGCAACTAACGGGATCGGGTGGTCGGACTCGCTGACTTTGTTGATGCATGTAATCGTATCAACCATTGCAAGAACTGACACAACAATTGTCACATGTCACAACCATATTGACAGTGGAGCCACTGAAACAGACACCATTGCTACAACTAATACAACAATTGTCACATGTCACTACTACATTGAGAGTGGGGCCACTGAAACAGACACCATTGCTACAACTGATACAACAATCGTCACATGTCACTACTACATTGAGAGTGGGGCCACTGAAACAGACACCATTGCTACAACTGACACAACAATTGTCACATGTCACTACTACATTGAGAGTGGGGCCACTGAAACAGACACCATTGCTACAACTGACACAACAATTGTCACATGTCACTACTACATTGAGAGTGGGGCCACTGAAACAGACACCATTGCTACAACTGATACAACAATTGTCACATGTCACTACTACATTGAGAGCGGGGCCACTGAAACAGACACCATTGCTACAACTGATACAACAATTGTCACATGTCACTACTACATTGAGAGTGGGGCCACTGAAACAGACACCATTGCTACAACTGATACAACAATTGTCACATGTCACTACTACATTGAGAGTGGGGCCACTGAAACAGACACCATTGCTACAACTGATACAACAATCGTCACATGTCACTACTACATTGAGAGCGGGGCCACTGAAACAGACACCATTGCTACAACTGATACAACAATTGTCACATGTCACTACTACATTGAGAGTGGGGCCACTGAAACAGACACCATTGCTACAACTGATACAACAATTGTCACATGTCACTACTACATTGAGAGTGGAGCCACTGAAACAGACACCATTGCTACAACTGATACAACAATTGTCACATGTCACTACTACATTGAGAGTGGGGCCACTGAAACAGACACCATTGCTACAACTGATACAACAATTGTCACATGTCACTACTACATTGAGAGTGGAGCCACTGAAACAGACACCATTGCTACAACTTATACAACAATTGTCACATGTCACAACCATATTGACAGTGGAGCCACTGAAACAGACACCATTGCTACAACTGATACAACAATTGTCACATGTCACTACTACATTGAGAGTGGGGCCACTGAAACAGACACCATTGCTACAACTGATACAACAATTGTCACATGTCACTACTACATTGAGAGTGGAGCCACTGAAACAGACACCATTGCTACAACTGATACAACAATTGTCACATGTCACAACTACATTGAGAGTGGGGCCACTGAAACAGACACCATTGCTACAACTGATACAACAATTGTCACATGTCACTACTACATTGAGAGTGGAGCCACTGAAACAGACACCATTGCTACAACTGATACAACAATTGTCACATGTCACAACCATATTGACAGTGGAGCCACTGAAACAGACACCATTGCTACAACTGATACAACAATTGTCACATGTCACTACTACATTGAGAGTGGGGCCACTGAAACAGACACCATTGCTACAACTGATACAACAATTGTCACATGTCACTACTACATTGAGAGTGGGGCCACTGAAACAGACACCATTGCTACAACTGATACAACAATTGTCACATGTCACTACTACATTGAGAGTGGGGCCACTGAAACAGACACCATTGTTA